CTCTTAAAGCTTTACCATTTCCAACAATGACACTTTGCGGAGCTGATAGATAAATTTCTTCTCTAAGGTTTGATTCTGTAAATGCATTTTTTATGTCAAAATGCCAACAGTCCATGTTTCTTTTGGCTACTATTGCCAAGAAAATTCGCAGGGTATCCATACGCACAGTAGGAGCGAATGTCTCTGTGTAATCACTCCCATATTGCTGACTAAACCCTCTTGCAACGAGTCGAGCCTTAAACTTCTCTAAGCTCCCGTCTGGATGAGTTTTGATGGTGAATACCCAGCGTGTCGAAACCAAGTTGGCTCCTTTAGGAGGTGTGCATTCTCTCCATGTCCCATTGGACTCAAGAGCATTTAATTCTTCTTTTATTGCTGCAATCCATTCAGTGGCATAGATTGGATCATGCACTGCATCATTGTATGATTTTGGAATTTTGATACCGATAACTTCATTTGCAGAATAGGCAGAATGTGATTTGTGGGTCTGGAGGTTGGATCCAAGAATCATTGCAATCATGGCTTTTATTCTCTTGGCTTCTCGGTCATTGTCATTACCAACTTTTTCTTTTCTTTTTCTGAAGAAATATCTTGGCTTGAGATTGCTTTAACTTAACAAACTATTTGTGACTGGTGCAATATTGTCATGGATGTCGGAAAGTATCTGGTCATCAAGCATTTCATTCATATCTGGAGTAAATGTTATTTCGTTAATATCATCCTGACTCCCATTTGCATGATTTACAACAGTATTTCCTGAATTTGAAATTGGAATTGGGTCAGAAAATAATTCTACGCCCCTCATATCCTCTGGGACCAGAGCTTAGTTCTCATCTTCAATTTCTTCGACATTTTGACTTATGACCAGGGAACGATTGATGCTAGAATTTTCAGGCATAGAAATGGCACTGGAAAAAGATCCTTAGCAAATTCTTTCTCTAGGATGGCAGAGTGTTTCGCTTTCACTATGCCATTGGAGAGACAATCCTGTTTCAACCCATTTTTGGTATCCTCATCAGGGATATCTAAATTTGGTGTCTTGGCTCTTTCAATTTAATTTGACACTTGAATTTTAGCTTACTCAATTTCAGTGACAGGTACAGTCATTGATATATCGTTATGAGCTTGGGGCTTAGGCGATGTTTCTAGGTCGTTATCTTTTCTGGGCCTTCCTCGACTCTTTCTTTCCACAAATACGTTGCTTGTACCTTGAGTGCCGCTAGGGTTATCCCTAATTTGAAGCCTAACCGTACCACCCTTAGTTTTTTCATCCACATACAGTGTGCTTGTACGACGAGTATACCCTAGATCTGGTGCATACAACTTTGATTGTTTAGTTGTGCATTCGACTGGTCCCATAAACACACCCTCACGTCCGCGAAGGACCAATTTATCGTGTCTACTGTTGGCTGGTAAGGTTTTTGGGTTCACATAATCGTAACATTTGCTCCCCCATACCCGGATGTTTTTTTTATCAGGTTTTTTTCCTGTATATGCTTGCTCGGGGCAAGTTATCTCTCCATTAATTATAGGACCCCCGGGTAGCCTATTTCTTACGTATGCATCAAATTCAACTGCCTCATCCCAGAACTCAAGGGGTAGATCTTGACCGTGTAGCATTGATCTCATTGCATTTTCAGCAGTTTGGATGCTTCTTTCAGCAGTTCCATTTTGGTGTGAAGATGCAATAGTTGTAAACTCTGCAGATATTCCTTCTTCTTTTTCCCACTGTGATAAGACCAATTTCAACTCTGGAGCATTATCTGAACGAGCAGTTTTTACCTTTTTTCCTGTTTCAAGTTCTACTTTGGTCCTCCAGCTTCTTAGTGCTGAGATAGCAGAACTCTTAGATGGAAGTGGCATAGACCAAATTTTACGCGTAAAGTTATCAACTATTTGCAGAAATACTCTATTACCCCTTAGTGATTTTGGGAATGGCCCCGCTATATAAAGTGATATCAACTCAAGTACTTCAGATCTATGATTAGCAAGGCATTTGTTTATAGAGTTTCTCATTTAAGCAACTTTGCAAGATAACCTATCTTCCGGAGATGGAATTGGGATTTTCTTTTCAAGATTAGAAACTTTTTGCAAGTTACCAATGCGTTTAGGTCCGTAGTGACCGAAGCGTCGGTGCATTAATCTATAAAGGTGTATATCCGCTTTTGATTTGGCTCCCTCGGGTTCTGAGTCATCTGGGTCGGGTTCTGATAAAATCTCCTCGCCATTATTTTCGTTATAATCATGAATACCTTCTATTGCGGGGTTAAACTTTGATTTCGCCGCAAGTGCTTTACCATGAAAATCGCTTGAAATATGCGTAACAATATACAGTCCTTTACTCTGTTTTGCAGTCATCACTCTTTTGTTGTTTTTCATGATATGCATTTCATTTTCATTGAAAAATCCATTCATCCCTTGTGTACATAGTTGCTTGGCAGAAACCAGATTTACCCCTAAGTTTGGTACATACAATGTGTCTTTCAGAAGAACGGATGATCCATCTCTACAGAGTACTAACGCCTTTCCGCGTTGATTAGAGTATAATTCTCCTCCTCCGACTTGAATGGTAACTTGTCGTGTCTTTTGTAGAGGCCCTCTAAATAAATTAATTTGGTCAGTCATTGGCGAGGTAGCTCCAGTATCAAAAACCTATTCAGCTGGAATGCTCTTACAGATTAATTCCTTAGATAAATGTAATCTCTCATTCCTTTGATGTGGAGCACTTGAATCGACGCGCAATTCCATTGTATTAGATCCATTATAATTTATGGGATTTTGCACAGGTTCAGTGCTTTGAGCCGAGTAACCCTTGCTTTTCTTTGCCCAAAATTTTTTGTTTGAGTTGCCTTTTTTCTTCTAGTACTGGGGAGCCTTATTAGGATTCTGAGCCTTTGATGTATCTCATCTTTCCTGTCTAATTCTTAGTTGCTCCCCAAACTTCTGGATTTCAGCAACAAATGGACAATATCTCTGAAAATGTCCAACTTTACATAAGAAGCACATCTGCGAAGGAGAAATTGGATCGTTGAGTGAATCTTTCATTAAAATGTCAGAATAGTGCCGATGTTTGGGCGATGAAGTTTTCCGACGAGTGGCAATATTTGCACTTTCTTTGCTCCGATCCTCTTTATCAACTAATCTTTGTATTTTTTCTTCCGCAGTGAGATGCTCTTGTAGGTGGAGGCCATCGATGGTAGGTGAGTATAATTCGGGAAGCTTATTCATGAGTACAACAAGTAGCCCATCATCAGGATAGGCATTTCTCATACTTATATTTGCTGCGGTAAGCTTATTTCGGAGACCTTTTATCCGCGCCCATGAGGCTTCGATGCCGTCGTTTTCATCGCCGTGAAAGTTTTGAATTTGGGTAAGATATTTATTCGCAGCAGTGACACTAATCTTCTGGTATTTACTCTTCAGACGTGCCCAGACCTCGATCGCTGTCCCAAACTCGTCAATTATCTTCTGATCATCTTCAATCAAGTAATCAGCTAATTTTGAGAGGAATTTTGCTTGATCTTTCTTGAACTCAGCTTTCTTTTCAATGTCCCATTTTCCCTCTAACTTTTCGGCTCTTGGTCGTTCTGTGTCACTATTTTTAGGGAATTTAGCTTCGGACAACATTCCAGTCCATGCATAAGCTTCTAAAGACGTCTCAGCTGTGTAGAAAATATCTTTTCCTTCTAACCGTAGTTTCATTCTACGAAACCATTGCTCATGATTATCTCGGTTCAGAACCGGGAAAAAATTTATCGGGGCTCCTGATTCCATTGTGAGATTATTTGAACTACTTTTTTCTAGTTTAGTGGCTTGAGTCGTTGCCTCCACTCTTCGTTTCGGTGGCTTCAAATTCGTATTTGCTCTTCGTTTCAGCAATGAATTGAATTATAGACTAAATTACTTATACACAATTCTTAATCGTATCGCATACCGGTGGTTATAGCCTGTCAAACTTTAGTGCAGCAGATCGATTGTTGTGTAGTAACTTCATTACAAAAATAGATAGTCTCTATTATTACAAAATCGAATGTCTCGCGATGCTCGCCTCGTCTACTAATCTTTACCTTCACGTGATGCTAACGAATTGGTCTGATACAACCTATCTCAACAGGAATCAAACTTGGTATGACGAAAGTTGGGGGATTGATGAGGTACGTGCCAATGTCTCAACTTGACAACGTTATCCAGATGATGTTTTAGCCTTGTGTTTTAGTGAACCCCCGCGATTAAGACAAGAAACAGACGTGACTACATTAAACATGGAATCTAGTTACAAGTGAATTAAGAGTTACATGTAGAAGTGTACAGACAGAGATCCTGCATCGACACTGATGCAGAACTGTTTTATTACAACAAGTTCCTTCCCCCTTCACTATATAAAAGAAATATTAGAAATCCCAAGACACCGTTGACAAAAGATCCCCGTACGCTCAAAATTTATTAACCGTGCCATTCCAGGAAGTAAGAACTTCATGATAATGGTATTAATCCTAGCTCATAAATCGGAGTAGCGGGCCAAGCTGTTTAAGACAGTATAGATTGTTCAGACCGATATTATTATGTGCAAAAGCTATTCATGTGTCTACAGAGCAACTTCTGCATATACCCGAAAATGTTAAAGAATCTGCTTTCTACTTGCACGTGACTGGTGCAAGATTTCGGTCAATATTGAGCGGTGTGATAACTAGAACAGGATAGAGTGTTTAAGTCCCTACCGACCGAAAGACTATTAAGCCCTGATGTAGCTATCTTATAAGCTTTGAACTGGTGGTGCTATCTATATTCATTCTGTTCTATGTCAGCTGATAGACGCTGAGGGTCATTGCCTGACAGCTTGATAAATATTTGTGAATAATTTGGACAATATTGAATAGGAAATGCAATGGATGAGTGTCAGTTAAATGTTTTAAAATAACAGGGATAAGTAATCGTAACTAATTACTTTAAATACGTTCAACCATCTGTCAATCCATCTGAAATTTCATTTTGGAAATAGGTCAAGCTTGGATCTGTTCTGGAACCTGAGTAAGTAGGGCCTCAGTCTTCAGAGCATTCTCTATATTCTGCAACACTAGAAGCTCCATTGCTCGCTGTTGAGAATGTTAGTGTCCGAAAAGGATGTACAGAGAAGAAGAGGCTCGACATACCTGGGTTTCTACTGTAGCAGTCCCAATATGAGGTGTCAGAACCACATTTGGGCTACTGAGTAACATACTATCTATGCTAGGCTCCTTCTCAAACACGTCCAAACCTGCACTGAAGACTTTGCCTGATTCCAAAGCTTTTACTAGTGCAAATTCATCGATAAGCTTACCCCTTGCAGTGTTAACTATTATAACACCCTGCTTCATTTGAGCAAGTTCATCCTTTCCTATAATGCCTATTGTCGCCTTATTTAAGCTACAGTTTAGGCTCAAAATATCACTGGTCTTAATAAGATGCTCGAAGCTCACGTAATCTGCGTTCTGCTCCAGTTCTGGAACTAATTGCGAGCGGTTATGATATTGAACGTTCATACCGAACGCTTTTGCTCTTTTTGCTACCTCTTGTCCGATTCCTCCCATACCGAGTATTCCTAGCAATTTATTCTCTGGATCATGACCTAGCTGTGTAGAGCCTCGCCACTGGCCTGCACGAAGAGCGAGGCAAGGGACATGAATTCGACGTAGCGCTCCTAAAATAAGGAAAAGAGTCATGTCTGCGGTGGATTTATTGACTGCTGTTGGCGTATGAGAAACCTGAATGCTTCTCCCTGTACACGCTGCAATATCAATACTATCATAGCCTGCCCCGTGGTGGCAAATATATCTAACCGATGGTGGGAGTTTAAACAAAAGCTCTTGATCTAATTGTCCGATTAACTTCACGGTTGTTAGACTGATATGCGTTATATATTTGTGAGTGGTTGATCCTCACCCTCACAGACTCATTGCTGTAATATATAATCATAACCTCATCGAGTTCTCCATCTTCACAGGATTTTAAGAAATCTTCTCTAGAGTTTCCATTAAAAACCTATCCAGTATTTACAGACATTAGTTGGAAAACACATATTGAGGGGTTATGTTAGGTTTTCCGTACTTTGAGGGTTGCAAAGCGTGACAAGTCATTCCACTCGTCGATAGTGTGGATTATCTTATAAACTAGAAAGACTGTAGGGAAAGACATTTCAGTCTACAAGAATGAAACTTTTCTTATCTTTTGAGGGTATTGTTGGAGTTCATGTGAACATGTACACAGAAAAAAGATTGGCGGTCAGTCAAGTGGGTGAGAACTGTTCTAGCTGCAGTTAAGGCAATTTTATCGACTTGTAAACTTGATGTCGACTTTGCATATGTACGTCTATTACCATAGACATTGAAAATAGATTCATGTGATTGCTTGTTGAGAGGCTAGGATTGATTCCGATATAATTTAGATATGACAATTACAAAAAGAGGGCTACAACGTCTTTATATAATTTTCATAGCTAAATAGTTATATAAAATTTGAAAACTATAACCTCTTTATCTATCTACAGTTTAATTCACCATTTTCCAACCACGCTAGCCATACAGGACGTAACATATAAAACTTTAATTGTACCATCATTTTGGGGTTGAGGTTTACCGTGCATATGCTACTCGAGTCGTATGCCTAACTACTCTGAGACACGCTCAGAGAGCAAGACCGAACAGCTGTACGCGGTGTCCCCTACGAACCTGGGAGTGAACTATTCTCCCAAAGCCAAGTTCAATCAAATTTCGCAATATCGAAAAAATTAGCCCACGAAGCAATGATTCAAAATACTCCACCACATCAATTTTTCACTACCAACGAAATCGAATCCTACCTGAGCCTCATCAAATCTATAAGTACGACCTAGCACATCCTCATTCCCATGAACACACCTTTCGTCGACTTTCTCTGGTCTCAGCTGGTCGCCAAATACACGCTCACGCCGATATTTATACCCGATGGAGGAAGCAAAGCGTGGCGCACAAATCTAGAAGACAATTATTTGAGATGGGCGTGAGAGGATTCAGGACAAGTTGATAATATGATGCAATGGATGCAGCAGATGGATACTTTGTAGACAGGCGTGAAAATCTGAGTTTTGGCAAGGAGTTTTTACAAATTGAGCTTTGTGCGTGCCAAGTCTTCGGCTGCGAGAGTACAGGCGACACTGTAGACACCGCCGTTGTTGGATGATCCGGTGGTACATAGTCTTGGCCGGTCTGCCAAGTAGAGTCTGGATAGCTTGGACACATATCCCACTCGAGACGTTAGATCGCTGATTCAAATCCGGCAAAACACAACCATATCTCTCCTGGCGCTGGTATACATAGATGGCGAAGGCATGTTCGGATAAATAAAGATTTTGAAATTCTCTCTGGTGGGTACTTGAGGAGGAGGTTCGACTGTTTGTGTAGGCAAGCATACCTCATAGTGGTATTTGCGAATGAAATCCAGAGTAAGAGTGTCTCTAACTTCAAAAGAGTTATCCAATATGTATACATAGCACCGGTCATGTGTAATAGCTAAATAGCTGAATACACATTGAATGATTTAAAAAAAGAGAAACGCTCAGCTATCAATCTAATATCCCACACCAAACCGAAACTACTCACAACCTTGATTACGACCCCATGAATAATAGTAACAGTAGCCTGCAACATAGCACAATTAGACTAGACATTGTTGATCAGGACCTAATCCGAACACAAATTACTGATGGGGCTACCTTTGTGATGAGGAAATTTCCAGGCTGGTACACTGGGTATATACAGGCTAACTCGATCGCCTGTCCTGCTTGGATTTAAATAAATCTTTATCTTCTCAAGTTACGCCCTCAGGGCTCCAAACATGCAATGAGCAAGGCAGTGTAGGTGCTTGAACATGAAACACCTACACGTGACATGAATGCCAATCTAGTCTTGGCATTACTCAGCAAACACCCACACCTCATATATACAGAGCTTGCTGTAGTTACTCCTATTTCTCCTTCCATGGCCAATATATCTTACATTCCCAATACTGCCTCTCTACCATTTTTATACTTCGTGATTTCTCATCATAAAAAGACCCTATTTCACGAAATGCTTCCCAACCTTGATGACTGAGGCAACTATTGTTAAGAAAAACTACTTCGCCATGCAGAACGCACATCCCGTATCATCTAGCTTTTTGCAATAAACAGTAACACTCAGACATCCCACGTAAATACCTATTATCAGGTGTAATGGCACCTACTGTTGCACCGTCATCCTTGATAAAATCCAATCTAGGACGGTAACTCCACCCAAGGTTTCTAGGCTTTTCTAATGCATTGCAAAAAGCAGATAGCGAAAGAAATGAAAGACTTGGCCTCGCATAAGAATTCCTTGAAGCGATTGACACCTGGGCCAAGAGCAAGGCGCAAACAAACTCTGCTCCAATTCTGGATCCATTTATGGAAAATATTGCCCCTGTTGTGTCTTATCTTGTAATGGGCTCAGTAGAGAATCACAAAACCACTGGGAAGGTACACTATGCTCCACCAAATACTTCAAAGCTAGTGACACAAAAGGTAAACACCACTACTGTCTCGCAATGTGGAATTCTGCCTGCAAAGCCTCTGGAGAATAGCTCGTCCTAGCTTACAGTGCCCCCAAAATCAGTGAAGCTATCCGACCCTGCTGCCACAGTCCAAAAAAGACTGCCGGTGTAACGCCCCGACATTTGAGTGGCCACATGGTGGCCGGTCCAATAGTTGGTAAGCCGACACAGGGTCAATCCAGGAATTCCAACAACTAGTTTCACACATACGAGTCTTGTGTGTGACAAATCACAATACAAAAGGTTTGTCATGGATATTGGTTTTCATGCAAAACCCTTGGCTTGTAGGCCATGAGGGACATAAGGTTTCGTGTTGGCAACTCTATTTCAACAGTTGAACTCTTATGTAAATATATACAGATTCATATCCTTCTAGATACTTTTCTCTTTAGTTGAGAATCTTATGATTTGAGTCCACGCTGTGACAGTCTTAAAGTGGCGTTTTATTCAAACTGAACTCAGAGCTAGATACAAATGAAAATCTTAAAGTAACAAGCAGAGACATGACTGAAAGCCTCCTATTTATTTACAAGACTATGATCTCGTTCCCTCATTTCATACCATTCTCAAAATAGATCATGACCTGTCTTCCGACAAACACCAGCATCTCCGTCTATTTTAATTCAGCTTCATTTTAATGTCAGTAATTTTAGTTATTAAAATAGTTATGATGCATGTGGCTTAGATGACTCGCAACTGGTGTCCGAGTCGTCCTGTCTGCAATCTAAATTTGACATTTAAGAATAGATTTGCATGAACTGGGCCAAGGCCTATACTTGGGTCTAATGAGTTGTGGAGGGGTTCATGACATGTATGATGTTTAATATGGTTGGATGAGTTCAAGCCTTATTTGTTAGGCAGCAGCCTAATGATAACCAGGTATGAGCCTGTGACACACGCCAGCTTTTGACCACTCGCCAATTGTCTTTTGTCCCTCGAGTTTCCACATTATTCTAAACTCACTCTCTTCGAAAGACCTGGGAAGGTATAAACAATATCCCTCAATAAGTTTTTTATATACAAACCTACTGATTGATAGCTTCGTTGGTGAGCCTTGCTTACTCTAAGCTTCACCCATAACTCTTGTCTCACTAATTGTGTTGTATCGCCTTCTGTATAATATATCTTACGCAATGATGCACACACCACCAGGCAAACATTCTAAAAATAAATGGAATAACATTAACCAACGCCGAAAATCAAAGAATAAACGAACCTCGTCAGTCGACTTTGTTCATTGTAGAGTAGGTTCTCCTGGGCCATCTACAGCTATTCCAACCCGTGCATCTGCTCTTCGCCGTTCACCCATAGGTCCCCTGTACCCAAATCTTCGTGATGATTTACAGCTACCTCCCCCACCTCCCCTCCAACAAACGAGCAATGAGGACATAGCCAACATACTCCGAACAATACAGCTTCAGTTATCCGAACAATCTCAAAAGATAACTGTCCAGGATGAACTTATTGCTAATTTGTCAGCCTCGAAAACGACACATACGCAAAAAGATAAAGGCAAACAACCTGATTACCATCCTTCCGATTCAATTATTCCTGAAGTTTTGCCTCATCAAAAGGTAAAGAAATCACCCAAAGAAGAAAGAAATTTCATCTACACAGTGCCAGCCAAGCGTAGAAATAGGTTCCTGGAATCCAACAACAGTCACGGTAGCGCAGAAGATATAGGCTCATCTCACAATGATACTCCAAACCAAAGACATTCTAGAAGAATCAATTTTTCTAGAGCCCCTGTGAAGGACCAAATATATTGAGTTCCCGACCTTTCAGAGAAATTGGACGACGGGATGAGCTCAACATTTGATACTTGGGAAATAATGCTCCAAGGAAATCTGTCCAACTACGTATGTTACCTAACAAATCAAATAGCGAGGAAAACATACGTGTTCAGCCAGACAAAAGGTACAGCGCAGTCACACCTGACCCAATGGATGAATTCAGATCATCCTCAGCACTTCCATAACAACCAAGAAATGATAAATTGGCTATCTGGATTCTTTCGTGACCCTAATGAGCGCGAGACAGCTCGTGTGTCTTACAATAAATGCCGGATGTCGACCTCGGAATTGTTTAATCACTTTTACAGTCGTTTCTCGGAGTTATCAAGTAAGGCACGCATCGCCCCTGAAGATACTTTGTCGGATCTATTCCACAAACTCAGCCCGGACTTACACAAAATCGCCATTTCGTTCATGGCTATGGGTCCCACTTTATCAATAGCGCTCCAAAGATTCACCTATTTCGATAAGGAGCTGAAGCTGAACCGAGAAGCAATAGCTAGCCAAACTTGTCAAATAACTCCAAATCCACCCATTAACATGAGATCTCCCCACCAAAAGTCGAGCTCACCGAACTATTTGGCCCGTGAACGAAGCCTCGGTCCTTTATCTTCCCATTCTACTATCGCCGCGCAGAAAAGCTCACGTCCACTGCCCATAACCACCAATTTGGAAGCTGTAAAGTGTTACAACTGCCAGAACATAGGTCACTACAGTACCAACTGTACGCAGGCCTGTCGTGGCCAGTCCAACATATCCAGCCAAGTTCAGGAAATAGAGGTGGATCAAACAACAACG